ACTCTGTCTCTTCACTGGTGCATTCAATCCATTGACATTCAATGTAATTATCGACAGGTATGAATTAATTGCTGCCATTATGTTAATTTTTTGTTAGTGCTGTTCATTCCTTTGTTTTGCATGCCTTAATTTGATCATCTGTTGACCTCCCAGCTCCTTTGAATTCGTTGTTGTAATTTTGTTCTGTTCTGGACTCTGCTATCCATCGTCCTAGTTTCAGGAGGTGTTGCCACGCCTGTCAATCTCTGGTTGTTGTCTGTTCTTATTGGTTCTCAGTCCAAAGAACTCCTTCTAGTATGTTTTAAAGTGTTGGGTTGACTTTAGCTTTGACAAAATCTCTTAGCTTCTGTTTTTCCTGCAATGTTTTGATTGCACCATCGTATTTGAATGACAGTTTTGCTGGATAGATGATTCTTGGTTGGCATTTTTTTTTTTCTTTTAGGGTTTTGTATATGTCTACCCATTGCCTTCTTGCCTGCATGGTTTCTGCTGAGAAGTCGGAGCTTAATCTGATTTGCTTGCCTTTGTTAAGTAACACTTCTCTTTTCCCTGGCTGCTTTTAGGATTCTCTCCTTGTCTTTGATTTTGGAGAGTTTAATTATTATACATCTTGGTGATTTTCTTTTGGGGTCTATCCTTCCTGGGGTATGTTCAGCTTCTTGAATGTTTATCTTCTCATTTTTCAAGATGTTAAGGAAATTTTCTTCCAGAATCTCTTCAACTATCTCCTCTGTGGACTTCTCTGATTCTTCTTGTTCTGGAATGTCATTAATTCTTAAGTTGTTCCTCTTCATGTTATCCAGTAAGAATCTTATACTATCTTCAGTTTGTTTGTTTTTTATCCTTTTCTCTGCTTGCTCGTCTATCTTAGCAGTATTGAGAGAGTCGTCTTCCAGCTCGCTAGTTCTGGATTCCATCTCTTCAATTCTGCTCCTTTCCCCTTTCAGTGTATTGTCCATTTCTGATATTTTATTATTAATCATCTGGACCTCTTTTTGCAGGTTTTGAATTGTTTCCAATGCTGTATCAATCTTGTTTGATTGCTCTTGTAGTACTTTCCTGACTTCTTCCTGGTTTTCCTCCACCCCTATTCAGAGCATTTGAATTTGTTTCCATATCATTCTTCTGAATTCCTTCTCAGGAAAATCCAAAACCCGCTCTTCCTCCTTTGGAGAGCCTTTGTCTGTCTCCAGCTCATTTGTCACAGTGACTCTTTTCTATTTTTGGACATGTTTTGAGATCTTTTGTTGTGTTTTTTTTTTGCTCATTTCCAGTATTTATGTGGGTTTTTAATGCTTAAAAGGAAGTTTGTTGCTGTGTTATTAAGCTTATTGGATGTCTCCTGGTGGATATGATCAGGAGATAGGCTCCCTTTTTCATGTGAAATGCTTAGCAGCTGTTATTGGCTCTTGTCTCAATGGTGGAATATTATGGGGTATGCTTGTAGCTTGGCTACAATTGCTGTCTCTTCCTGGGTAATATAGGGAGAAAAAGCTCCCACCTCCAGGAAAAATGAGTGAGCAAAAGGACCAAAAGCAGAAGCAATATAAAAGCAAAGGCAAAAACTACCACTTTGAAAAAAAATAAAACTGTGGCCTACTGTCCAGTTGCCTTGCTACACAGGCAGTGTATGTGCACCGTAGAAGCCTTCAGTAGTGGGTGGGATTGTCCGCTCACTCAGGCACCACCTCTAGTTACCACCACAGAGGTGTGCAGAGAGATATTGAAGAGTTAATGGGAGAAAGATTGTCTACTATTTTTGTCTCTGAAGGTCAGTTAGGTATCTGCATGTGCACAGAGTAATTCTTGAGATAGTTGCATCCTTTTATGTTGGGGTTTTACAGATTGTTCATATGGTTTGTCTGTCAGGCCTGACAGGCCTGCTTTTTTCTTGCTGGATATGCCAGAGTAAAGGGTCCTACACAAATTAATTTTAGGGCTTCAGCCCAGAGGCTGACATAAGCAGCCACCAAAGAATTTGCCCTTGGGACTGATAGGGCTCGTTCTCTCTGTGCCATGGGAAAAACTGTTGGCTCAATGCTGCACTTTTTTTAAGGGGTTGCGCATCCACCCGCCTAAGGTGTCTGGGCTGGGCAAAGAAGGAGTGACTGGGAAGAGGAGGAAAAAATGTGTAGAATTACCCCGCACCTCCTTTTGCAAATGTCACTGCCCCACTTTTAGTGCCGATTCCCTGTGCCAGTCTGGCTGTAACCCCGCCCTCTGAGCTCCACCTGGGCGGGGTGACCGCAGAGGGAGTTCCGTGTCTCAAGCAATTCCTAAATCACAGTATTTTCCTTTATACTGTGATTTTTTGGCTGGCATATGCAGGAAACTAACACCCTGCACCTTATGTTTGATCCGAGCTCTGGTGCTGTTCCGTGAAAGCAGTTTCTCTGGGTTTTCAGTCCCTCCTCCACGGAGCCCGTCCTACCTGCCTCTGCCTCTGCTGCTGCCAGAACCAGAAGTGTAGTCTTTGATCTTTATCAGTAAGTGCTTCAAGTCCTTGTTGTTTTCAGCAACCAAGGTTGTGTCATTTGCATAAGACAGATGGAATCGTCTTCCTCAAATCCTGATGCTGCTTTCTTCTTCACACAATCTAACGTTTTGGATTATTTACTCAGCATCCAGACTGAGGAGTCCTGGTGTGGCGCTGTGGGTTAATGTGCTGGACTGCAATGTTGATTTGAGGAAGGATCAGTAGTTGAAAAACATAGTGGTTCAAGCTCATAAATCGCTCCTTGGAAACCCTATACAGGGTGGCTATCAGTCAAAACGGACTTGACAGCACTTAACAAAAAAACAGACTGAAGAATTACAGTGAAAGGGAAGAGCCTGATACACACCTTCCCTGATTTTAAACCACACATCACCCCTTTTTTCTGTTTGAACATCTGCCTCTTGGTCTGTAGACAGGTTCTACATGAGCACAATTAAATGTTGTGCAATTTCTATTCTTTGCAATGTTACCCATAATTTGCGATGATACACACAGTCAAATGCCTTTGTGTAGTCAATAAACCATGTATAGGGTTTCTGAGGAGCAGCTGGTGGGTTTGAATCATAGACCTTACAGTTCAAACTGACTTTGTGATCCGGTACTTATCCTACCATGCCATGACTCTCCCTTTCTCTCTGCCTCTCTCACTATATATGTGTATGTGCAAATATGCAGATACACACACACACACACATACTGAATGGAGAAGATGGAATGCTTTAATTCTAATGGGAAATCATTTGCACAACTCTGTGTTTATTCATAATGCCTTGGTGGTGCAGAGGGTTAAACACTGAGCTGCTAATCATAAGGTTGGTGGTTGTTCCCATAGAGATTTACAGCCTCAGATCCCCTCAAGAGCAGTTCTACTCTGTCCCATGGGGTCGCTGTGAGGCAGAATTGATTTGATGGCAGTGGGGCTTTTTTGGTTATGTTCATTCAACCCTCTTTTGGAAAAATATATGTAAGTTTATGTAAATATATGTTGTTGTTAAGTGCCCTCAAGTGGGCTGGCTCTGACTTATAACAACTTTGTATAGGGTTTCCAAAGACCAGCTGCTGGATTGGAACTGCTAACCTTGTGATTAGCAGTCCAGTGCTTATCTTACAGCACACATGCATGTACATGTACATATAAATAGAGAAAATCTGAGAAAAAAGTTTTGCTCAACTCTGAGCAGCAGTTCTCTCTGGGGAGCAGAGAACAGCATGTTTTCAGGTAAAGTTAGTCAGACAATAATCACTATTGAGCACTGACTACGCCCTGACTTATATAGATAGCTAGATAGATATAGATACACACACATCCAGACCTGCCCTTGTTTTTAGCTGCTGCATTTTCCAACAACATACGGAGAAATAACAACTTACTAACTACTCTTTTTGGAAAGAATCTATTGGTGCCCGAGTGAAGCAGTCCTCTAGACAGTGGTTAATGCTCACTTTTAAGAGTGCCTCTTCATAGTGGGACCTGGCTCCAATAAATAGAAGATGGGCGTAGTTTATGGCTATGCGGTCAAACAGTTTGATCTGGAGCTCCTTGTTTGGCTATCAGGAATAAAAATGGGAAAGGAATTACTAGAGTCCCTTGTTTAAACAGCCAAGTGGCGGGATTCTTCAATAGCTATTTCTCTCATTTTCAGGAATCTCATTGTCAAGATACTTAACTTCATATACCGTATGAACTAACACTCATTAGTTCTACAGAGTTTATAGAGCAGAATGTTGTTGAGGAAAGAACATGACTCTGGGCCAGGAGATCCTGGGTTCTCTATTCTTAGTCTTGCCCTTGACCAACCACATGATGTGGACCAGTTCCCAAAGCTCCCAAGACAGGAGTGGACGCTAAGACCAAACCCTAGAGCACTGTACTTGCCCACTTCAGCAGCCCATGGGTTAGCAAGTCCAAACTATATCCCCAGTCTGATGGCTAGGGGGGGAGCAACAGGTAGACCAGCATGGTGTTTGGAGCAGGGACTTTGGAGCCAGGCAGCCTGGGTTCCAGTAGCAGCTCTATGACCCTGGAAAATTGGAAGTCGTCAGAAATTATATGGAATGCATGAAGATTGATGACCTGGGTATTAGTAAGCTGAAATGGACTGGTGATAGTCATTTTGAAGTTGACAATGATACAGTTTATTATGCTGGGAATGCCAAAGTAAAGAAGAATGTCCATTCATGAACTGTCAAAAAGAGTATTTCAAATCTATCTTGAAGTATAGTCCTGGGCATGAGAGATTATTATACACATGTCTACAAGGAAGATCAGTTAATACCACTATTACTCAAATTTGCATACCAACTGCTAAAGCCAGTGATGGTGAAATAAATGAATTCCAACAACTTCTTCAGTCTGAAGTGGATCAAACATGCAATCAAGATACACTGATACTAACTGGTGACTGGAATGTGAAAATCAGAAGCAAAGAGGAAGGATCAGTTGTTGAAAAAATATGACCTTGGTGATAGAAATTATGATGGACATCGCATGATACAATTTTGCAAGACCAATGACCTAGTCACTGCAAATATCTTTTTCAACAACATAAAAGGTGTCTATGGACTCCTGGTATGGCGCTGAAGAGATCAGCACTGGACTATGAATCACAAAGTTGGCAGTTGCTTCTCGGAAGCCTGAGAATTGGAATTCTCAGCCCTGAGAGGGCTGATATGAATTGGAATCTAGTCAACAGCACTTAATAACAACAACACACACATGAACTTTACCAGAAGGATTACACAAGAATCAAATCGACTGTGTCTGAGAAAAGAGACAGTGGAGAAGCTCAATATCACCAACTAAAGGCCAGGGGAAGACTGTGGAACCGACCAGCAATTGCTCATATGCAAGTTCAGGCTGAAACTGAAGAAAATTAAGACACGTCCATGAGAGCCAAAATATAACTGGGGATATAGCCCACTTGAATCTAAAGACCATCTCAAGAACAGATTTGATGCATTAGATACTAAAGACTGAAAACCAGAAAAGTTACAGGATGACATCAAGAACATTCATACATGACGAAAGCAAATGATCGTTAAAAATACAAGCAAGAGAGAGAAGGCCAAAATGTATGTCAGAAGAGACTCTGAACTTTTTATTAAATATAGAGAAATTAAAGCAACTGGAAGAAATGAGGCAGTTAAAGAGCAGAACAGAAAATTTCAAAAGGCAGCTCAAGAGAACAAAAGTAAGTATTATAATGAAATGTGCAAAGATGTAGTGTTACAAAATCAAAAGGGAAGAGCATGCTCAGCATTTATCAAGGTGAAAGAACCAGAGAAAAAAATCGAATCCTCGATTTGCTATATTCAAGGACTCTAAAGGAGCTCTGGTAGCGTAGTGGTTACGAATCAGGCTGCGAACGTTAAGGTCAGCGGTTCGAAACTACCAGCTGCTCCGCGGGAGAAAGATGAGGCTTTCTACTCCCGTAAGGATTTACACCCTCGGAAACCCTGTACAGGGTCGCTATGGGTCGGAACCGACTCGACGGCACTTAACAACAACAACAACAACATGGGCAAAATATTGAATGTTGCAGGAAGCATCATAAGAAGATGGAAAGAATATACAGAGTCACTGTACCAAAAAGAACGGTACAACCTATGACCAAGAACCAATGGTACTGAAGGAAGAAGTCCAAGCTGCACTGAAGGCACTGGCAATAAACAAGGCTCCAGGAACTGATGGAATACAAATTGAAATGTTTCAGCAAACTGATGCAGAGCTTGTAGGTGCTCACTCACCTGTGTCAAGAAATTCAGAAGACTGAATTGGAAGAGATCCATATTTGTTTCTATTCCAAAGAAAGGTTACCCAATGGAATGCAGAAATCATCGAGCAATATCATTAAGATCACATGCAAATAAACTTTTGAAGAAAATTCAAAACCAGTTCCAGTAGCATACTGAAAGGTTACTGCCAGAAATTCAAGCCACATCCAGACGAGGATGTGCAATGAGGGATACCATTGCTGACATCAGATGAAGTTTGGCTAAAAGCAGAGAATACCTGGAAGATGTTTATTTGTGCTTTACTGACTATGCAGACATTTAACTGTGTATATCATAACAAACTATGGATAAGATTGCAAGGAATGGGTATACCAGAATATCTAAATGTGCCCATGAGGAGACCAAAAGACCAAAAGGCAGTTGTTAGAACAAGTGCATAGTGAATGATTTAAAATCAGGAAAGGTGTGTGCCAGGGTTGTATCCTTTAGA